AAGTAATCTGATTACGTAACTCGCGTTACTTGTAATGCGTTACCCCCAACACTGGTAATGGATAACGTTATAACTACAATTTCCTTCATGTAATTTGGAATCAGAAACGGATTACAATTTGTAAGTAATCTACCCATCTCTGATCGCGACTGATTCGGTTTGAAAGGTTATTAATAGCATGTAGCCTATATGAAGTTATTGGCTCCTGTACGTGTCACTCACAGTGAGAGAGAGAGAGGGAGAGAGAGAGAGTGTGTGTGTGTGTGTGTGTGTTGAGATGGGTAATGTGCGCGACAGGAGAGCACGCTTCCTTCTCATCTCCACACACTTTCGCAAGATTCGTGTGTGAAATGCGGCTTACACGGAAACGGTGGACTATCTGCACCATAAGCATCCTGCTGATATTCTACAAGACGACAGAGATGGGCAGAAATGAAGTGCATCAGAAGACAGGACTGACAGGGTGAGGGCTCTTCTGCTGTTACTGAATTACCTCTCCTCTTCTAATGAGCACCGAGTCTGATTATGTGCATCTCATTAAACGAGACATTCATTTATGTTCATTTATTTAATGGGTTGTTTCATAAACCTTCTATTGTAAACTATAGTTCACGAGCCCCGCTGTTGCTCCATCTCAATTAAATTAAGATCGATTCACAATCTGACTGTGCTTTGTTTGAGTCGAAATGGCCATTTTATTCTTACACCCCCTTGTGAAAAAGACGTGTAATTAATTGAATGTGCCATTGTAGTGATATTTTTATGTAGCCTAGACTACTTTTAAGTATATTTTCATACACTTTTATATATTAATCAACTGTATTTGTAGATAATATTTCATTAATTAACTTAATAGAGTAGGCTACACTGTTTCTTAACACTTAAATCTGTCATTTTTAAAAGTGCCCTTTACAATCATTATGTAACATAACAAATAGTAGGCTAATAACATGACAAACAAGTTTCAGTAGAAACAACATTATATTTTAGTTACCATAAATGCTCCTCAGTAGGTTACATTATGACCATGCTTACATGAAATTACATAGCATATAAAATTCAAAAAATAAAATAATTTCTAACTAGTTGCAATAACATGCAATTTAGTGTCAGAAAACATTACATTCAGGTTGCACTTAATTATATACATTTTTTAAGTTGTACTGTTTAAGAAGTACGCTAAAATGTATAAAAGGCCTATATAAAAAGGCCTTCACTTTTCACTTTTTTTCTTGGCACACTTTCCTGTCATTGACATGTCAGATCTTTGCATCAGTAAATCTATTATTATAATGCCTAAACATAAGCGTGTGTCAAAAAAACTCTTGAAATGGAGTTTTGTGTACGTTTTTTCCGAATGTTTTAAGTTTGAAAAGCAAGGTAAATTTAGATGATTCACTGACAAACTTGCACTTGTTTTGTTCCAGGAACTGAAAAAAATGTGGTCAAGTTCATACTTGCTCATAATCGGCTTCACTTTAGAATACACGCGCACAGCATTGGGCAATTTTAGTTTTTCACCACAGATGAGTTAATGAACTTTATTTTGGTGCCAAAAGAACATAGAACACGCACTTTTCAGATGACTTTGTGATTTGCTTCTGACGTGTGTGTGTGTGTGTGTGTGTGTGTGTGTGTGTGTGTGCATGACTGTGTGTTGTCGGGTAAGTGAGAGGACAGCAGACAGCTTCTGCTCATCAGATGTGGTTTCCTTTAGTCTCTTGCAGACTCGTTGCGCATGATTTAAAAACAGAAGTGGAAAAATTTAAGAGTAAATGTCAACTGCTTCTGAAGTTAAGTCTTCTGTTAGGTTTCGATTTGATTTCATATGATATATATATAAGATCTGTACAAACTCGCCCCTCAAAGAAAAAAAAAAGTTTGTTAAAAAGTGAATAACAAGAACTTTTAGTAAATTTTCTTACTTATATTTGTTTTTCAGTACAAGTATGCAAAAATTAAATCAAGATACATTTAGAAGCAAAATTACATACTATAAGTGTTGTTCTCTAAAAAATTATCAAACTTAAGTTTATGAGTTTTTGTTTACAAAAAAATAAACAAATAAAATTTCAAATTTATCTTGGTTTAAAAATATTTAGATATTTGTACTGGAATTTATTTTATTTTTTTTGCTGTGTAATGATGTAACGGCGTGGTGGATGAAGGATTGTAAGAGGTATAAATCTATACACAAAATGTATTTATTAATGAAAACAAAGCTCAGGAACACAGGACTGCAGAGAATATACCACAGCATCTTACAAAAACACAGACAAAGCAAAACAAGACTGGACAAATGACAACTGAAACACAATATACTGGATAATGAGAACAAGAAGCAGACGTGCACCAGGGTTATTAAGGTTAACTGAAACTAAAACCAATAATAAAGAAACATTTTCATTACTTGAAATAAACATGAATTGAAATAAATTATTAAAAATCACTTATTTCATTTCAGCTTTATTTCTAATTTAGGTGAAGTACTAAAATATCTAAAAACTACAACTTTAACTAAATTTTAAATTGAAACAGGAAAATATAAAAATAAAGGTAACACTATTTTAAGGACCAGTTTTCACTAGCATGCATATTACTAGCATATTGGTTGTTTATTAGTGTTTATAAAGCACATATTCTGCATGACCACCCAATACTTAAACTTAACAACCACCTTACTAACTATTAATAAGCAGCTAATTAGGAGTTTAGTGAGGCAAAAGTCGCTGTTAATAGTGAGAATTGGACCTTAAAATGAAGTGTGACCAAAATCTAATTCAAAATATTAACAATATCAATATCATTGATACTAAAATAACACTGATGCATATTACTAGCATATTGGTTGTTTATTAGTGTTTATAAAGCACATATTCTGCATGACCACCCAATACTTAAACTTAACAACCACCTTACTAACTATTAATAAGCAGCTAATTAGGAGTTTAGTGAGGCAAAAGTTGCTGTTAATAGTGAGAATTGGGAAAATTGAGAAATTTGGACGGACGGATGGACAGATCGATGGATAGATAGATCGATGGATAGATAGATAGATAGATAGACAGACAGACAGACAGACAGACAGATAGATAGATAGATAGATAGACAGACAGACAGACAGACAGACAGATAGATAGATAGATAGATAGATAATTTTTGTATTTTGATACAAAATACAAATTAAAGAATCCACAACTGCTTCAAAAGAGTCCTTGGAGAAAAATGTACAGAAGGCCTGTGACAAATGCCCTGGTCTCTGGAAAGAGGTTTGGTTGAGTGATATTTATCTGTTATTAGATTAGTCTGATGGCAACATGTCTTAAACTAACTTATTTATTTATTTATTTATTTAGATAGATGACGGACGGACAGACAGACAGACAGACAGACAGACAGACAGACAGACAGACAGACAGACAGACAGACAGACAGACAGACAGACAGACAGACAGACAGACAGACAGACAGACAGACAGACAGACAGACAGACAGACAGACAGACAGACAGACAGACAGACAGACAGACAGACAGACAGACAGACAGACAGACAGACAGACAGA